AATAGATAATGTTCTTTTTCTATGAAAAGTTTTAACTTTCTCTGTTTCCTTAAAGAAGTATGCTTCTTTTCATCTTTTTAATATAACTGCTACAATTTGTGCAGAATTGCGGGAGAATCCAGTCACAAATTCTGCTGGAGCTGCTACGAAGCAAGTTGTGGAGGAAGCAGCAGTGGTAGCAAGCTTGACTGGAAACTGTAGCAGCTCTTGTAGTAATGGAAGTAGTAGCAGCAATGTCTTTGGAAGTTTGTTTGCTTCATCAACAGCTTCGGGAAGTCTGCCATCTCAAGCTCCTGTTTTTTCTGATATATTTCGAGCCATGGCGCCTGAGCACACTCTTGAGATGGCACCACCTTCATCTACAGAACCAATATCTCTCGGCCTAGCGATGAGTCACAGTTCGTCAATTTTTAGACCAGCTGGTCAAGAACGGAGGCAATATGCTCCCGCACCACAACCAGCTATGTCGGCAACAGCATTACTGCAGAAGGCAGCTCAGATGGGTGCAGCAGCAACCAGCTCATCGTTCTTGAGGGGCATTGGGGTTATGTCCTCCACGTCATCTTCAAACGGTCATCAAGAATGGAGTGGGAGACCCAGTGATGCCAATGGTGCATCATTAGCTGCAGGTCTTGGTCTTGGACTACCGTGTGACGCTGGTTCTGGTCTAAAGGAATTAATGTTGGGAACTCCCTCGGTGTTTGGTCCCAAACATCCCACTCTTGACCTCCTTGGATTAGGAATGGCAGCTAGTGTCGGTCCATCGCCTGGATTATCTGCCCTTTTAACATCCATGGGTAGCAATCTTGACATGGTGACTTCAGCTGGATCATTTGGTAGTGCAGATTTCAGTGGGAAAGACTTGGGAAGAAATTCATGATATCTTAGAGTCAGGTTTAATTTATTCTGTATAGGACAATGAATTTCACTTGATGCAGCAAAAAACATATTGGCAAGCTCTCAGCCCCAAAGATTTGAGCATAGGATGGCAGGAGGAAAGAAGGCAGTTGGACACTTTTAAGATTGTTCTACTGTCTCCTTTGTGTAGGAAAAGTAGAAAGGTTTTTTTTCTGCTGTACAGTAGAAGTTGAATGTATAGCTGTATTAAAACTCCTCTGCTTTTTGTTACAGATGAAGCTGTTAATGTGTTTAGTATATAATTTGCTATAAGCATATTTAACCAAGAGAGGCTCATCTAGTGGGAATTTTTATCAAATGGTATCTCTATTTCAGACAGTGCAAATTTTTATAAAATTTGTATAATTCAGATGCATAACTAATGCAGCAGTGTTAAACTCTTTGAGCAAAAAAGTTTAAAATTTAGCCAACGAATCGTTGAATCGGCCATTCTAGGGTTGGATGTTTGAACATTCTGTTTATGTTTTTATTTATTTTTATATGGTAAGTATATATGAAGCCGGCAAGTTGGTTCCTAATAGTCAACTTTATATTAAAAAAAATAATTTGGCCTACTGCTAGTACCATTTTCTCACAAGCTGCCCAACATATTCGGTGTGAACCTATACATAATACCTATTTTGATTGATTGATTAATAAGATAATAGGAGTTCAAATTTTTACAGTTTCAAAATGTTATTCAATTTGTTTTATATATCACGGTTAAACAAAATTAACTGTTTTAATATAAGTGAAAGGTAGCAAATATTTTATAAAATTTGCATAAATTAGTGTAGACACTACCGTTATTATTTATTTCTTTTATTTTTAGATATAGAAGTGGTAATGATTAAAAGTTGAATTAAGAAGTTAAGTCGTAATTAGAGAAAAGACATAAAACGGATTAGATCAAATGAATGTTCTTTGTTGGGCCAATTGTAGTTGTGCTTTTGACATCAATTAAAGGAATCTGATGCAGATTTATTTTTTCTTAACATTTCTCAGTACCAATTTGACTTTGAAATTACATCTAATCTTGAACAACAGTGCATGAAAATGAAGGGTTATCATCAGTTTAAGTAGCAACCAACTGTCTTCTAATTATTATATAATATTTCTGTAATAGTAGTGACATACTTTGGGCTAATAAATAAATAATTAATGAACTATTGTGGAAGGTTTATGCCTTAATCTTGTCGCTTTATTCTTGTTTGGTAGCATAATCAGGAATAATGAAATATGATTAATTTCTGGATGACGTCATAAACTATGGTCTCTCTCCACCTAATCTTCCTTTTTATTTAAATATATGCAATATAATTAGGTGCTTGCTCTTTGTCTAAGACCTGTCAGAACTGATTATTTACAATTTATTCTCTTCTCAAAATTAAAATAAAAAATCATGATTGCAAAAATTTACTATAACAATAAAAGAGAAAGAAATGAGCATCTTTGAGAAACCTATTTCTAAAAATTACGATAGATAGTTTGAGATGGGAAACTATAAAACTAAAATAACAGAATAAATTACAAAATCAAATGTCACAAATATAACTGATCCAATTTTTAGTTTAGTCACTTTTGGTGGCTGTTGAATTGCAAACAATTTTACTACTGATTAAAAATATAGAGATGTTGACTTGTGGCATATGGAGAGTAAAGTCAGGCCAGGAGGCTGTAACTAAAGAGGGCACTCAAGCTGTATGCAAGTTTTTCATCACTGCCAAGCCATAAATGCAAAGTTTGTTGTACCAAAAATTACTGTATCACTGAAAGATTTGAATTCAGGATTTGTTCATAAGTCTATGATAAATGGTCAAAAAATACTACAAGAAATAAATAATTATCTTTGGGGATGATTTAATTAGTATGAAGGGTAATCATCTGTTTAATATCTTTTGAGTGGAGGTTTTATCCGTAAAGCGTACTCATCCCATAAGAAATTGAATAGTATAACGTGCTCATCCGAAAGACAGAGACTGAATTAATGGGGCTGTCACGAAAGATATGGGATATCCAAAACATTAATCTTGTAGGTCCCATAATTGGTTCATGATGCCTACATAATATCCAAGCCCATCTCCATTTCACTCTCAACACCACCTATCTTGTTTCATAAAAAGAGTACACCATTTACTTTTGTACTTTTATATACTTCCATCCTCCAAATTTTATATAATCACATTTGCTTGACACGTAAGATATTTCATCAAATTTTTTGGTATCTTTGTATTTATTGGTAGTATCGGACTTTGTATGTATTATTTCATTTTCCATCTTTAATTGCAGCAACAAATCGCATCAGTATATCAGAAAGGACATACGTACGTACTACTCCTGTAGTTCATCAATGCTCACTGCTATGTGGTCCTCAAAACCCTATTTTAAAGTGTTTCTAAAAGTTCTAAAGGAGGAAAAGTAGTTATTTAATTCGATTCACATTTAATTACGGTAACAAATCCAAATTCTCAACACAAATACTTTAGCTATAATATTCCTGATGGCCTAATCACAACAACACTTAATTAACTAAAGAAATACAATTAAAGTTACTGAAATGAGAAACTTAGGGTCCGTTTGGCCATTGCGATATGATATCATAATATGAAATTAAAATTTTGTTTGGACATGCGATATAAATTTTGGTGTTATATATTTTCTCATAAACATAAATATTTAATAAGTTCTAAAACTATTAAATAGCCCAAATTGTTTATTCAATCTTATCAAATAGACAAAAAATTATAAAATGGCATAATAAATTATTAGAAATCTATTTGTTCTCCACTTAAGTAATTGTTTCAATCTAACTTTTACTTCTCATCAATATATTTGAATAAAAAGGAAACACCGTTCACAGATCTTCAAGATTTTACTACTCAACAATCGTGAAGTGTGAGTTAAAGTGACCATATGTTGGTGAGAATAATAAATTTTATTCCAATGAGAATAATAAAATTTAAAAAGTAATGATGTGAATTTTATTTACATGTGAAATAAATGGTTAGTAGATATAAATGTGGGGTTGTTTTAACAAAATATAAACTTGTGGGTTAATTTTTGGTATTAAAATATCTCAAATCATCATATGGTATTCTGTATAATTCCATATCATGGTTTTTGGAGAATATGAAATCACATCTCATGATATGGAATCAGCGTAAAATCACATGTCTAAAGTTTGATTCCATCTCACGATACCATATAGCGTATGATATCGCATGTCCAAATGCCTACTTAGACTCTAGAAGAAGAGAAGAGGACTTAGACAATTCTTTCACAATATGCATGAATTCTCCATACCGTTGTGACAACTCTTTTATCTCTACTCAACCTGAATCCCGAACAAATCTATTGTTGGGCTGTTTTACTCTTGGGCCTCTTTGTGGTTCAGCCCAGGGCCCAATAGTTTGTATAGCCTCTGGGCTCTTTGTGTTCAACAATTACCATACCCCTTTTGCCCTTCCTCTTTTCATTGGAAAATTGGCAATAGATGTATGACTTAAAAGTATCTGTTACTGACTGTTATCTTTTCGTATTTCTATAATGTATTATTTGTTTTTACCGGTGTTCTTTTTCTCTAATGCTTTGTATTTCTATAATGCATTATATTGTTTTAGTATTTGCTACAATCTTCTTTATTTTGTGAATATTTTATCAAACTGCTCTAAAATTCGATACTTTAATTTATGGTATGTTTCAGAGAAGAGTGTGTCAGACTTTATCGTCGAGCATGTTATTGTTGTTAAAGAAAATGTGGACCGTGTTTCCTAAATAAAAAAGACGGAATCCCACAACACATTTGAATCAGAATTTGAATACGATTTAAGTAATTAAAGGGATTAGAAGATAAGGTCAACATATTCAACAATCTTATACACTCTGTTTCTAGCTGCACTTACCTTTATTTTCCCTTTTTTTTTATTATCTCTCTATTATTATCTGTATTCTGGAACGACGAATTGCTCTACTGTTTTTCTCTAAACAGAGTTATTCATATTAAAGACAGAAGACAGATTCGAATGAGAGAAGTTCACCTCCATGTTTGAGTCCCTGTGCAGCAACAGACAATGATTTAAATGTATGAACTGCTTTCATCCAGATAACATCCTAACACCTTCTGCTACATTGCTGGAGACTTGCCAGGGAAAAGTGATCTATGAAAACTTGTTTCGGTGTTATTACATAAACTCATAAATATGACAGCAAAAGTAAATGAAAAGACGTACACACACATGAGATTATACAAAAACGTAGAGACTATTCAGCTCCTGAGAACTTGCTGAGTACACTAGTTACACAACACACTCATAGGCTAGTTTGAGGAATATCCGTTCATTTCAGGTTGGCCTGGCTCCTCTTCCTCGGTTTCTTCTTGTTGATGCCTCTCTTCTGTTTCTTCCTCCCGTCTCCTAGCTTCTTCTTGTCTTTCAGCTTCCTCTTGCCTTTCCCTCTCTGCCTCTCTTGCTGCCTCTTCTTCACTCCTCCTTGATTCCTCCTCTTGTCTCCTTGATTCTTCCTCCTCCTCCTCCTTCCTTCTTGTTTCTGCTTCTTCTTCTCTTCTCCTTGCTCTCTCTGCTTCTTCCTCCTGTTGTATTCTCCTTGCTTCTTCTGCCTCTCTTTGTGCTTCTTCCTCCTCTATCCTTCTTGCTTCCTCTGCCTCTCTCTCTGCTTCTTCCTCATGTTGCCTTTTTGCTGCTTCTTCCTCCTCTCTCCTCCTTGCTTCCTCCTGTTGCCTTCTTCTTGCTTTCTCCTCTCTCCTTGATTCTTCCTCCTCCTGCCTTCTTTTTTCTGCTTCTTCCTCTTCTCTCCTTGCTTGCTCTGCCTCTCTTTGTGCTGCTTCTTCCTCTTCTTGTTTCTTTCTAGCTTCCTGTCTCTCTCTTTCCTCTTCCTCTTCCTCTTGTCTTCTCCTAGCTTCCTCTTCTTCCTGTCTCCTCCTTATTTCCTCTTCCTCCCTTTTCCTTGCTTCTTCCTCTTGTCTCTTCCTTTCTTCCTCTGCTTCTTTCTCTCTTCTCTCTTCTTCAGCCTTTCTTGCCTCCTCTTTCTTCTTCGCTTCCTCCTCCTCCTTCCTCATTTCTTCCTCCATCAACCTCTTCTCTTCCTCAGCACAAGATGTACACTCCAGTATAACTGAATCACCCTGTGCTTCAAGAATCTGATGCATTGTTGTGTTGCCCACATTGAAAGATGCTTCCAATATCTGCCTATCCAATGTTCGGAGGACCGATGCCTTCCCCGTTAAGTACTGAGGATGATGTTTCTTTGTAGTTGTGCTAAACCCCACAAACACAAATGAATTGTTATTGAATGCCATTTGAGCCATAGGATCAAACCTTGGCACAACAAATACATCCCCTTCTTCCACTTTAAACCTCATGTTTTTACACCCTGTTCCACTCTTTGAGCAAACTACCCTCACCATTCCTTCTCCTTGAATTGCTATTCCAATTTCAGTAGCCATTGGATTCCAATGTGGCCCCATCATTGATCCTTTCGTTAAGTTCACTACGTAAATACCAATTTGCGAGCCCTTTAACGCCGGCAATTTCTTCCTGTTTATTACCGTGCTCCACCCGTTGCAATTCTCAAAATCTGGTTTCTCTTGGAATACATTGAACAATTGAGAACTCTTCTTTTTATTCCTTCGGTTGTCAAAGAAACTATAACTACCCCTTCCTAAAACAGTCTTCATGAACTGAGCCTCCATCTCCCATAAGTTCTTCTTCTTCTTAGTTGACTTTGGCACACCGTGCACTATGGCTGGTACTTCTGTTCCAGCCAACACTTCTTCTATCACATCCTCTGGTACCTTCATAAACAAAATTTTACATTAATTAAAATGACTCCCCAACAAGATGGGACTCTTTTTATTACTGTGTGTCAATTCAAACTACTCGTCACATTAATTAATTGGGCTAAAAGAAAGCCCAAGTAATATTAAAAACTATTGAGTAAAAAATTCTTACAATACATCTTGATAACAGCTATGATTAAGTGATATTCTTAACTAGCATTTTTAAACACACCAATTTATGACCAAAACAGCATTGTTGGCTAATCACTAAGGTCTTATTATACAATTATAGCTGTTGTGAAGTGTGTAATTAGGCGGTTAAAGAGAATTAGTTAATGATATTTTTCGACCGTAGCCAATATATAAATATATAGTAAAAACACACTGAATTAAAAAGATGGAGTAGGGAGTTGTTATACATGAAATGCCGCTTGGAGGACTTTCTTGTCGAATCCAAGAACCATTTTACGGATGCTGGAGTAGGGCTCACTCAGTGATTCCTGTATATATTAGGAAGAAATATCCATCCTTAATTAAAATAAAAATGAATCGAATAATTAAGCTTTTCGAAGAAGGCAAAGAAATATTACTCGGCCTGAATTGGGAAAAATGGAATAAAGTCTAAGTTTGTGTCTGATAGGGTCTAAGTCACTCTCTAAGAAGAAAATAGATCCAAAAGGCAGCCTGAATACATCTCCTATTCTTAAATCCACTGATTTCTCTTCATTTTCATTCATCCAAGTTAGCTTCCCCGACCCTATGAACATATTTCCACAAACAAAAATAAAATCAACATAAATAGGTTATTATCTCAGGAAGTTTGTTCATGATATATTTGAGAAATCAAGTGTATATATGAATACCAGTGTGAACATAAAAAACCATATCTGTATGTAGAACAACGGGAAGGAAGAGGGAGTTGGGTTCCAATGTGATGAATTGAAGATGATAGGTTGTTCCATCAGCTACTGTGACTGATGAGACTTCACCATTTTCAGTTGAAATAACTGTTTTTCTTTCTGCTCTTTTAATCAGAGGACCTAAACCCCATTCCCAACCTTCATTTTCTCTTTTAGCTCTTACATCGATAAACACGCTACTGATGATAATAATCATAAACAGTAGAAACTTGAACAAGATTTTGCAACATTGAATCGACATACAATTTTTCACCGACATTGCTAGTACTTTTATCTTTTTCTTAAAAAAAAAAAACAAAAATATGGAGATTTGTAGCAATGGAGAGGTTTTGAAGGTGTGAGTTACGTGGCATTTCATGGACAGGTGCTTCTTTCAACTTGACACGTGCTCGTCTCATTCCATGCACTTATTGTAGTATTTTTGCTTAGAATTTTTACGTGGCATTTCATGGACAGGTGCTTCGTTTGGCCAAATATACTTGCAATTTTCGTTTTCCCTCGATGAATTTGATATTTTTTCAACTTAAGGCTATGTCGGTTTAGTATATTAATAGTAAAATTTAAATCTAAATCTTTTAAAAATATATGATATCTATTTAAAATTCATGATATAATGAAAAAAAAATATTTAAAGTATTTTGATCAACACACATAATTTAAATTTCCAAAAATAACTCACAGTTGAAACCTAATATGAAATTTTAACAAGAACATTTGTCTCGTAAAATTCACAAATTCAGTGTCAGTTAATTGGTTGTTATTCGGACATTTGGATAACACAAAATTTTTGGGAAATGTTAAATTAAAAAATTAAGAAATTTAACGTAAATATACAACATATTATAATTTCTAAAAAAGTTTATCACTTAATTATTTTTTTTAAAAAATCCTTCTATACTTTCCTTCCATTAAATAATATATTATTACAATGTACCGGACATTTAAAAAAATGTCTTCGAGAGCAATGAAAACTTTGAAATTTTAATAATTAATTTTTTTTAAAAAATAAGATGTAATTAAAGCATCTTTAGATGGACTTAAAAGCTGATCAATCTGACTTAAAAATCATCTTTTTAATTTATTAGAGTGTTTAATAATTATCAAAATAATTTATTTAAATAAAAAATAACTTATTTCAAGTGAAAAGCTAAAAGCTATATTTTAGTCTTCTGATTTATATAGTTTTCCAAAAATGAATGATCTTTAATTAGCTTTTTCGAGCAACTCGTTCAGGGGCCATTATTGGTTATGCCTAAGGAGAATTTTTGCAAATATCCGTTATAGTAAATAAATTTAATTATACTTTATAGTCGTAGCTCGCATTATTAGGGGTTGCAGCTATGGTTCAAATTGTATTGTTTGTATAATTTGTGAGTGAATTCGTACGTATTATGGTTAGTTTGAATAATTGAGTTATATTTTGATAAATCTAAAATATAAATTTATACAAACACAAACATCTAAATTTTATCAATTATACAAATAATATTTTATAAAATTGTACTATATAAAAGTTATAGAAATTATATCTTAAAATTTCAAATTATACAAACTCAAAATCTCAGCCTACATAATTATCACTAATGTTAATCGCGAATAATAATTAACTAAAATAATTATTATAATAACTAATTAACTAATATATATATTACTTAACCACGTAATTTTTCCTTTTATCTCCCCAATATAACTGGAACTGGACCTAAAATTTCCTTGTCCATCCATCCACACGGTCGGGATCTAAATTGTGAAGAGGCCCAATTTTCATAATTTACCCAAAATTGTCCGCTAACGAAGTGCAAATCTGTGTATTGATAATGGAAAAAATAAATAAAATAAATGGGCCATTTACTTTTTAGCCCATTTGTTTGTATCAACTTTTGCTATATAAGCCCTTGTAAAATCACCAATAAGCCTACCTCGTATCAACATATTTAGTCTTCCATACTTCTTTGTTTAGTATTGAGTTCGATATAATTTTTTCTGTGGTTTTATATTTGTTGGTGAGTCCGTTCTAGCTAAGAAAGTTTATTGTAAAATTTATGTCAATCACAAGAGTACCATGACTAACTTAGTTGAGTTAGATATGATGGCTTTGATGTTAATTTAGATATGAACTACATTCATGTTTGTTATGTCTCAGTTAATTGTTAAGTTTCAGTTTCGTAATAAAAAAGGAAAATCATAGAATTAATCAAGAAGGTTATCTCTTCTAAAATTTAATAAAAACAAAAAAAAAATGTTACATTTATCATCTCTAATAAGAATCATGAGATAAATAAAATTAATATAAAGTACACATTTTATACGTGAAGATGTAAATGGAACTCCTAGGTATATGCCTTCATGACTGTTTAATTCTAATTTTATAAACTTTGGGTGGTCCACATTGTCAAATTTTTCTAAACCCTTTAGACGCCCAAGAGTGGAAAAAAAACAAATAAACATTGAGACATGTGAAACGTGAGAAGCCAGAGTAAGGCTAGTTATATGATAGAAAAAAAAGTTGATGAGAAAAGAAAATATATGAATCTATAGAGGGTATTTTGCAAAGTGAAATCGACGTATCCTAATAATCCATTTAAATATGGAATAGGACCACCATTCATATATGTTTTTGCCTTTCACCTTTTTGTTTAGCTATATTAATCACATACAAGATACCCTATCGATCACACTTTATATCTCCACCACCACCCCTTTCTTTCATCCGCGCAATCGACAAATTATTTATACTAAATTATTGAATTGTAAGAAACGAGTCACTAAAAATTTTATATTATATAGAAGATATGATACGTTTAGATGTATTAATTTATTTTAAATTTTCAATATACCAGTCTTTACACGAGGAGATATTTTTTTTAGGATTTAGACATGAAGAATAACTTGTTGACGAGTACCAACAAAAGATTCAATTTTTGGAAATTTGTCTATTCTTTTTTGTTGCACTTTTATTATTTCATTAGGTACATCTTTCTGTCAAGATTAGACAATTGAGAGAAAAAAAAATCATCTAGTGACATTTTTTTTTAGTTAAAAATTATCAACTTTGATATCCCATCGTATTCCATGGTTTTATTAATTTGACTACACTACACCTATGGGTGTCTATTCGGACGTAACAACAATAATAACATATCTAACATATTTAACCGATAATTCTGTAAACTAAATTTAACAAAAGGTAGGATATACACATAGCAAATTTAATTCCTACCCCGAGAGATAGAAATATTTTTCTAATAAATCCTTAATAAAAACATCAGTTTGAGAAAGAAAACAAAAGAAAATAAATCAAGACCCCACTTAATGATTTGAATTTTTAACTTATTGTTAAAATCTAATATTTATTGAGATTTCAATTAATTTTTTTATACACATCATATCGAAAGTGAGGGAACCCATAGCCAATAGGCTACATTCGTCTCTCGCTCTTTTCATGTGTGAGCTTAATATTTGGAGATAGGGCGGAGATACAAATATGAAAGGATTCACTTTTTGATAGAAAATTATATTTTTTATATATGATTAAAATAATTTTATATATATACATAATAAAATGTCAAATCTCCTTCGACTACTTCATGTATCTATTCTATTGATTTTTAACTTTTAAAAACTCCTCTATTTAGAGATAGGACAATTTTGTTGATTTATTTTGTTTAAGTTTACAACAAACTTCATAGAATATCTTCAAAAATAAGAAGGAAAAAAGTGTTTTTTTTGTGTGATGAGTCATAAAAGGATGGGTGGATGATGTCCACAAGTACTGTGTTTATTGGCATTTTATTTTAGGGAGAGTTGTATGTCCAAAATGACACATCTTTTTCTTTGATTGAATTGTATTAATCACAACACAGAATCTCAACCCCTCTTTTTCTTTTGTATCTTTGAAGCTTCTTCTACCTTTTCCACCGTGATATGTCCCATCTACTCACGAACCTTAACTCCTAAGTACTTGACTTTTTTTTATAAATTGGAACTACTATTCATTTCTCCTTTCTTTATTTTTCTTAAATCACGTTTATCAATCTGTTCTTATTCATCATATTTACTTATCTTAATTAAATGTATGCCTACGAAAATTAGAATTTTCACTAAAAAAATATAATATAAGAAGCATAGTTATATATACCGATGATAATAATTTTCGGACAAAAAAAAAAAAAGCCAAACCCCCCCCCAATTTGTGATTTACTTATTTTGATAATAAAATTTTATGTCGTTTTAAATATTTTTTATTTTTTACCGTGTAGTATTTAACAGATTAGATTAATTTAATCTAATGTATCTCCACGAACTACTGAAATTGACTTTAGAGAAAGCAAAAAGTAACGAATAAATCACAACGTAAATTAAAAACATCGACTAATTTACTCTCATTTCTCTAAATTTCATACATATTATTCGCACTTGATATTTACGACGAGAGTAAATAACATATAACTATATACACTCATAATGCACGCAAGAGTTAGCCGGTCATTGTAGTTATCACTTTATCATAATTTAAGAGTCGTTTTCAAACTTGAGTGAGAATATTTCTCTCAGGAGTAGTTCCTGTGATGTCATTAGAGAAAATTATATGTAAAAAAAGTAGGTCTGATTTTCGTAATATTCGAAAAGATGGACAAATTAATGGGAGATGCTTTGCATGATTGAATAAGATGTTACAGTAGTATCACTATCACAACTTTGTCAATCTGGATTGTCATCCTTATATTAACATCTCCTGTTCTATAAATTTTATATAAAAAAAATAAATAACAAAGTGATGCTAAATAATGCAAAGTTGAACCCTCACCCCCACTTGTAACAAATATGAGGTTGCCTAATTGTCTAAGTGCTATCCCCTTTGCCATATCTAACATTTTTATTTTTTCTTGAGTCGAAGATTTATAATTCGAAATAATATTTTATAGAAATAAATCTATATACACATTATTTGAACTTCTTGAAACATATGTTACATCAATTTGAGAAAATATCCGATAAACGGAGACGTCATGAATTTATGTGTCCCATATTATTGTTATCCTTTTATCAACTCTATCACTTAGCTTGAGTCTTGTGTAAATTATACATCAAAATTGATTTTTCGTGTTTTGTCCCCTCATTTTCCCCTTCCCCACCACCTACCAAGAAAAAGAAAGAGAAAAAAAGAAAAACACTTCAACTTTAAAGACCCTTTCTCCACCAATTGAGGCATATTATTTGCTGTAAAATGGTGACACCCACTATCTATGGTGCTAGCTTAGTTTTGTACGTAACATACAAAAAAAATAAAGCCTCACAA